TCAACTTACTTTTTAAGCTTGATGTAAAATATTCTCCATGTTGCAAATTAAATAAACAAGCAAGCAGCAGGTTATTCACACAAAGTTGCTCTGAATAGCTTCTCCTCTTACGCCAGCCCTCTCCATCAGCCAGCTGTTAGTTTCCAGCTGTGGTTGGCAGTCAGAGGGGACGGTGCCAGGTTGCCCCCGCAGCCGTGGCACAGCCGTCCTGCCTACAGCTAGCAGCAACCTGCCCCAAACCGCACGCGGTGATCGAACCCAAACTGCTCGCCGCAGGGAAGCAGGAATTGTGCCAAGCAGCCCAGTTCTCCTCCTTTCCCTAAAAGTTTTTGGATCCAGATGAGAAGGGTTTCTGTGTTTCTGTTCTAGTCCCCAATCACTAAGCAGAAAGTTCATAAAACTGATTTTTTGGGGTTTTTGGAGGAAGATGCAGTAACAATTTAGGTCTCTGACCAGTCATCCAGTTACGTGACATGACAATAATCCCTGCAAATACCAATTTAAATGTTTGCTTTCTTCAAGGCGAGAGCAAGCGTTTGGGAACTATAACGTTCCCTTCCATGCTATGCAATTTATCTACCTTTTTCAATTTTTAAAACCGTGTGATTTTCTTCAATGATGTTTTTCAGTAACACAACCCATGGTAATCTGCTAACATTTAGTATCTCCTCAGTCACAACTGCTTTTCTTAATAAAGAACTATTTAAACTCGGTTCTGTGGTGGTTCGGGTTTTTTCCAACAGGTCTACAAACTCTGACAAGCCCTGCATTATTTATGTGACCTATAAACATCATTCAACTCTACAAGACATAATGCAAAATACTCTCTTCCCATTCAGTAACTTCGCTGACGTGCAGTGACCCGCTGATTTATCTCAGTTATCAACTGATAATCCAACAGGTTCATTGCAATTTTAAGCAATCCGATTCACACAGGCAGACTTTTTAGAGATCTTAGACACTCTGGAAAACCTTACGACACACCTGCCTGTACGTCTGACCTACTCATCCCTAGGAGCAGATCCTCTGAACAAGAATAACACAAATCTGGGTTTCTTATGGAATAGCAAAAATCACGTTTCCAGCCACCCTGAATTGGGGTCATTGCTGGAAACGCTGCTTCTCCCTCCAGTGCTGAGAGCAGGTGCAGTTCGACACAGAAGTGTAACTCCTTTTTGCGGGGCCCGTACCTCCCCCATGGGTTTTTTTTTGAAGTGTGTGGTGGGGATTTATCATTTTCTTTGAGATTAATCCAAATAATTACTTTAGAACTACTTGCTGCATATGAAAACCAGGTCTCTTCCTACTTTACGTGACTTTTCCCAAGATAACAGTAGCCAGGGTGCACTTCTGACGGCAGGCGTATGGGCTACGGTGACCCTTTCTGCAAACTCGTATTTGTATTTCTGAGTATTTGAACTCTTACTTTATTCCCCTGGGGATCTCTTTCTCACCCTCGCGCAGTTCACGTCACCTGTTGCTTGGGTGCTGAAGGGAGATGCTCAGTGCTGAGCTGGGGTCGATCCCTCACTTCGCTCAGCTCTGCCCAGCAGAGCTCCGTTTTGACCCAAAATACAAAGGCCAAGTCTTGTCCTCTCCTTCAGCAAGTGATTTTCTGCTCTGACAAACCCACGGATACCTTTCAATCACTCTTCTTCCACTGCTTCAAGTCAAGTTGCATCTCAAGTGCAAGTAAAAATGTATTAATAATTCTAAGCGTTAAAAGCACAAATTCAGACACTTTTGCTATGAGAAAATGAGAAGAGGGGCTTTTTGAATAGTCTGCTTTAAACCAATTAAGCCTGCTACTTTCACAAACAGGTATGAAAACATTCGAGATTTACCTTTCTTATCACTACCACAAAACCTTCTCAGCTCCTCGTTTATTTTTGAAAAAAATATAAATGCTAGGAAGATATTAGTAATATTACTAAGGTATATATAAATTCTTGGAAAAGAATTTCTATGATTTTAAAATATGTTACATATTTAAATACCATAATTTGAACTAAACTAGAACATCACAGAAAATTTAGTAAGAGTATGTAAATCAAAGAAAATCATCTGAACATCTCTATTGAGAAATGCCTTTTTACGATTATTTACATCTCTCATTGCACCTCCAGATGTGGCCAAGGCACCGTTGTCCATTACCAAGTCCTACCTCCTAACTGCCTTTAAGAGGAGGAGGGATGTGGTCTGTAACCATGGTACAACAACAGAAATCACCTCCGTTCAGTTTCTGAATAAGTAAAGAAATGTAAAAATGAGCGCAATTTTGATGGAAAAACAAATGAGTGGATACAAGCGATCCAGGCAATGTGTTGCAACTGTTTGCCTGGGGGGAAAAAAAAAAAATATCACAAGCCATTTGTCTTCTCGGGAAAAAATACTGCATATTAGGTATGTCTTTGCTTACCACATATAGGTATGTACTTGGAGGCTTCCCGCAATACCCAGAGATCACCAGGCAGCCAGAGTAAATCATGCGTATAACCCTGCATGACCCCTAATACTGAGGGGCGATTAATACACTAATAAACACAGCCTAAACACCAATCCCCTCACCAAAGGGAAGTTTGCAAGCTGAAGTCTGAATATTCACAGGGTAAAACCGGTAACAAAGATATCCTTGTCAATAAATAGAAAGGGACATAATGCAATGGGCTGTGTTTTATACGTACAACAAACAGCAAAACCATTGTCTCGGAGATCCCTTATATAAAAAAGGGTGTATTTCTTCTTTATGAGCTCCATCTAATGGTTGATTTCGTTTTTACACAGCTACTTCGAAATTCTCCATCCTGGCTCTCTTATGCTAAACTTAAGAGAAAAAACACAGCAGGTTTCCAACGTTAAAATTAAAGAAGCATATATTTGGTTGAAAGAAATTGAGCTCTCCATACAGAAAGGTGAAAGCAGCTATTTCTATGAAATGTTGGAGATACTTTTTAAAAGACTACGCATCTTTTAAAGACATCGGTATTTTTTTATCTTTGCAGTATTTTGCTACCTTTGCAGTCACGGCACCATGCCAAGACTAATTTGGCAGTTCCACACCGCGAGCAGCAGAGCCGTGTGAGCGCGGACCATCGGGCAGCCCGTGTTCAAACCGTGCTCGGTGGGGGAAGTCATTTTCAGCAGCTTGCGCCCAAAATACTCCAAGGAAAGCAACTGGCAGTATCTTTTTTTTTTTTTTTTTCCAAATCAGGAAGGATTGCTCTCTACACTTCTGGTAGAGAAAGAATATTTCACGAGGAACCTTGCCTTGGGCTTTGTGCATGGCCATTGAACGGTGCCTGATACCAGGGGAAGGTGGGAGCTGGGGTGGGAGCCAGAACGATGCCCAGCGTGCGGATTCTAGCGGGGAGCTGAAATACAGGCTTGCTATCCGCGCTCTCTGGGCTTAGCTAGCACTCGGCTGCTGAAGTACATAAAAATAATGCTAAAAACGTTGGTTCTAATTAATATTTATTCAATATTCAAAATTAATCCTTTAAGGTACTGCTGAGACAAACTTGAAATATTCCAACGGAAGAGTCTGAAAAGCTGATATTTTAAGGTGCTACACTTTAAAACAGTGAAGCATGGATGGAGGTGGGCAGAGGATGCTGCTGCTGTGCTATGAACGGGAGCGACAGCGCATGTGGCATCAATAGGTGTCAGACCCAGTGAGACCCCACAAGACCTCTCCAAACCTAACCAAAAAGCCCCCCCAGACCCAAGCAGAGACTGGCCGGGATTTACTCGGGGCCATGGAGAGGAAGGAGACACGGACTCCCCGCACCGGCCGCACACACTGTGCCCACTCTCGTTGGTGAGGTTTGATTTCCGACGGAGAGGGACCAGGAACCTGCGACACCGACTCCATCTCCTCGGCCGCTGGTCAGCACTATGCTCCTTACTTTTGCTGAAAACAATCTAAAACTGATCAAATATCAATTATCATCTGCTTGCAGGAATGAAATGAAGGAGGATATAAGATCTTAAATCTCAGGTGCTAATTGCAGGCAGGAACACCCTCAAAACCACCTAAAAATCATCAAATACACATGCGGTTTGTGTAAGAAGAAAAATAATCTTCTATATTAAAGAGAAAATTGGCTTAAATTCAAATGTTAAACTCAAGAGTGTATAAATAGTTACCAAATAAATCGCACCTCGATGGTAAGTATTGTTTTTCTACTTGGCAGTTCAGTATTATGCAATGGCAGATTTGTACGGTTTTCTTCTTACCATAACATATTAGAAAGATCCTATCTTGAAGAAAACGCCAATACCTTTGTGTGAATTTCACCATCCACAACTGCACATTCATATTTCAAAGCAAAAGCTGAAAATGAATGTTTTAATTTTCATCTCCTGCTTCCTGTCTCATTTAAAAAGCAGTACTATTCAGCCACAAAATACAGAGACACACACATTTTGTATCCATTTTGCAACCTCTCCATAAGCCACCAAATTTCTTCAAACTGCCCCCCCTCTCAAAACCCAGAAAAAGCCACCTCCCCGCCCATGGTAGTGTCAAACTAAAAAGGTGACTGGTATATGGAAAATGATTAAATACAATTTAAATGCAGAGTCAACAATCTTGAAGAGTCGGCAGAAATAAACTGGGAAAACTTTAACTAAAAAAAAGAAATAAATCTTGTTTTCTACTTCATTTATGTAAAAAAATGCAGAATACTTCTTTAAGTTTGCAAGAACGGAAGACAAGGCCAGCTACTAGAAATGAGGTTTTTTTAAACAATAATTGACTTTCCCCCCACCCCCAAAACCAAATTTGGTGGAAACACCATGTAAAACCTAGCAGCCAGCTGAATTGCTTTGCACTCCCGAGGGTGTGCGACGGCAGAAGCCACCACCGCCCACCACGGCACCGAGCTCCGGTGCTCACCCACTCCCCTGTGCTACGGCCGTGCTCTATTACGAATAAACTCCCGGCTCTAAGGCCGCAGCAGCCCGGCGAGCGCGGGCGCTGTCACCGAAGCCTCGGGTACCTCGGCATCGTACTCCCAGAGCTGGTTCCCCCTCATGTGGTGGCACTTCAGCATGATGACGGGGCCGTTCAGCCTCGAGACATCCAGGCACAAGTCGTCCGTGCGGATCTCTTTGTCAGCCGTGTAGGAAAACACCTGGAAAGAGAAAACGATTGCAGTGACAAAGAGCGAGCGAAAGTCCTACCCAACCGCTCATTCGGAATACACATAATTTTCACTCCAGTGGAGCAGAACTACTTTCTTCTCCAAACACTGAGGTGGTGCCTTGGAGTTCACGAGCGTTTCATGCAAATTTCTCCGCTGGTGAACGCCTCTTGTATGTAAGAGAAGGAATATCATGTTTAGGAAAAGCAATTTTATGAGACCAAGCCCAGGAATCATCCCGGCGTATGCTCAGTTTTACCACCTGGGAATTCTACAGAAGCATGTAATTGTGATCAGTGTCTTCAGGAGAAATTTCACAGGTCTTTTAATACAATTGATAAACCAAGCCCATCGTTGGAAGAATCCAAACTTTCCTAAACTGTCTTCCTGCTAGTATCTACCTTAACTTCGGGTACCAAGGATTACCTATGTTAAAGATTCACATGCATGAATATTTCAGAAATACTGGGTCACTTAATAAAATTAGGAAATAAATTAAGACACGAGAGAACACTCCCCCAGCAAACTTCTATCACACCAGTTATAAGTTTCACAAAAGCTCCTGAAATGGCCTTAGGAAACAGCCTCAGGTCTGTGTTGCTTCATGCTTTCCTTGCAGAAAATGCTTTTCTTCACAAAAAGTGAATTATTTCTGCCCTCCGCTCCCCTCTGCTCCAGAGGAGGAGACCAGAGAGCAGAGCCTCAGCCTGTTCTCCAGGACCCACCATCCCGGCACTAACAAACAGCACCTGATTTCCACCGCCGTGGAAACACCAACGGGAGAAAGCTTGCCGTTAATAAAATAATGTCAAGACCACAACAAAAGGTAGAATTATGATGTCCCTTTCAGGTTTTGATGAGTATAAATCTGTATCTACACCCGCCACGGAGAAACAGGGCTGTCAAAAATATGCAAAATCTTCCCTTAGGCGGCAATGCTTAAATTAACAGAGAAATACAATAAAAGCAGGGACAAATAGAGCATGTGGACATACACCTCAATTACTCGGGGAGTTCAGAGTTCCTATACAACCTATTCCTCTTGTAAAAGGACTACAGTAAAATTAAAAGTGCCAAGCCTGAGATCTGAAGCACAAATACGGTCGTGGCCCCAGGGATGTCAATCCATTGAGGTCTCCCGTGAAACAGGACATGGTTACTTGGGGAAGAAGAATCAATCAGGCAGCAAACAAAAACTTTTTCAGTGAATTAAGCCGAGGGCGGGAGATACGATGTCACTTGGAAACACAACCCTTGGCCGCGGTGCACTACATTGAGGTTTCCCATGAAACAGGACATTGTATTTGGGAAAGAAGAATCAATCAAGCAGCAAACAAAAACTTTTTCAGTGAATTAAGCCAAGGGTGGGAGATACGATGTCACTTGGAAACACAGCCCTTGGCCGCGGTGCACTAGGAAAGGGAATTCTCTCCATGTAACTCTTAAAACCTATACACTGCACAAAGGAGCCAAGGGGATAAAGGCAAGGATTCTGAAGTTGGAGGTTCAGGTCAATCTTCCAGAGAGATCACGGAACATGAAACCAGCGTGCCGAGGCGGCAATGGAGCAGCCAGGTCCAAATCAAAGCTGTGAGGGAGAGCAAGAGCTGCAAGGATCAGAGGTCTTTCCATTTTCCAAATTTCTTACCCACCGCTTACCGGCCACCTGTCTGGGTGAAAATCTGGGGTCCAAAGCTACGGCAAAGCATCAGTCGCCTTTTGCATTTATTCATCCAGCGATAAATCACCGAGATCAAATCTGAGGGTCTCAAAGTGTTGCTTTCACTTAAAACCACATCAACCACAGGCCACTACTCGGGCTTTTCTCCAGGGGCAAGACAGACTTCTAAATACCAACCTGCCAGCGCTCTGCTGCGATCACACTGCGGAGCCCTCTGCCCTTTTGGAAGGGGGCGAGACGAGCCCACGTCACATCAAAAACGACACTTTGTCTTCATACGGACATGTTTAGCTTCCCCACTTTTCTCTGCCCAAAAGCAAGTCCCAAAGCCTTTAAAAAGCCCATATAACCTCAGCCACGGTGCTGGAAACTCCATATACGTACTCGCTCACTCAGTTACATTCTGGAAATATTTCGAGATGAGAATTTACAGCTGAGGGCCGACCAAGAAGGAGACACGGGTGTCATTTTGAAACGCAGCTCTAACGGTGTCCATCTCTGGCAAATCTCAGCAAGAACTAAAGCACTCACAGGTACTCGAGTATGTTAAATGCATGACAGTAGAAGCAGGTTTTTTTCAAATTCATACAAGCTGTCACACGTGCACTGCCCAAGTTTCAGTTTGTATCCTGAATCTGTGTTTTTTCCAATGATTTTTTTTTTTTTATAGTAAGATGTCTGCCTACACCTTGTCCCTGGTAAGTGAAAACCAAACACCAAGGAACATGGTCTACATTTGATCTGGTTGATTTGATGACTGGTTTGTTTTGTAGAGGTCCGACAGATGTACACCCTCTTGATCAGATGAGCTGATAGCACATCAGGCTAAGTTCATGAAGTGCATAAAGGTACCAAAAAAAAAAAAAAAAATCAGGATCAGTTGTGAGGTTTCTTGAAAAGAGGTACAAGAGCAGTCTCTGTTCTGGACTAAACTGAAATCTGAATTTGAAGGTATTGAAGACCTGGGCTAAAACAACCCTTAAGCAAAAGCAGATACCATAATAACGTTCAGTTACCAAGGCAGCATAAATAAAGTTCAACAACAAAACCTTGGGGGGGGGCTTTGGTTTCTCTTTTAAACACCTTCAATCAAAAATCTTACTTACTGGTAGAATACTGGACTTACCTGCTTGCTGTCATGCTCTATCTGGAACAAGAAACAAGTCCAAATAAGCTAATAATCCAAAAATCGCTGATATAATTTGTAGCACAAAGTATCTCTCACTCAAAGTCGCAGTTTGGGTTCAAGAATCACTCATATGAATATATTGTACAGATATTTCATCTTTTACTACGCTCATTATTAAGAGATTTACTCATTACCGTTTATTCTGAAGCAACTTCGAACTTTAATTTTTAACTTATTTGGGTTGTTTTTTTACATTAAACGTATTTGCATTGGGCATTTTCTTCTAGCCTCAGAGACATGTTTTTAGCCTCAGAGAGATGTTTTATTCTCTGTTTTAGAGAAAGCAAATACTTATATTTTGAAATGTATTTCCATGTGTGTATTTCTTTTTCCTCTCACCTTTGGTAATTGCAATACACTGTTCCACTATATCTTTTGAAAGAATAAGTGATGTCTGAATTGACAATTACAGAAGATGGGTTTGAAAAACCTGCCGTCTGAAGAAAGAAAAATGAATGCTAATTAAGACTATGTAAAATTATCAGGCTAGCATTTTGCTACCATCCATATTAATTATAGACATAATTACATTAATGTCATCTAAAAATAGAGGGTGAGGAACACGCTGCATTTTGCAGCTAATTAAACAGTATAATTCATGCCACACATTCCAGTGCAAGACAGGAAAGGACTTTCCGAGGAGTCCAATCTTCTGCTACCGTAAGCATCCCCGTTTTGGGAACGTGATGGACCTCCCTGCTAAGCAGACCCGTGAGCACCAATCTATTGCATCTTTTTACTGGGCTGCAATTTATTTACTAAGACACGGGCTGCTGAAGCATGAAAATAAAGTTCTTCCCAGTTATCCCGTGCTTTTCTTCCACAGGTGTCCCCAAGGGCTGGTGGGACTCGCCGCAGCCAGCCTTCCCCTGCAGCCGCGCAGGAGCCTCGGGTCTGGCTGGAGAAGGGCGGTCCTGCCGGGCAGGACGGGGGGATGCTCCATCGCCAGGAGGGAAGTTCCTGGGCAAGAGCCGTCCCCCGAGACCTGTGGGTGTTTGCCTGGTAGCATCACCCCCACCAGGTCTCCAAAAGAGGTTAAGCAAGTCCCTAAGGCATTTGACGCAGACACTACTGAAGAAGCCTCCAGAATGACAAAATACAAAATGTTCTCACCCGAGAAGAGACACCACAGGTATCACTGACAATTTCATTACTTCTTTCATGTTAAAAGCAACTTAGAAAGTATTCCTCCTGATAACAGTCTGAAAACTAATCAGCTTGTTCAACACTAATAAAATGCCACAGAACATCACAAACTGGAAGTCAGTTGAAAAGTCAATACAAATCTGTAGGTATTTTATTTTACACATATATATATATACACGTAAAATAAAAAAACCATAAAATATCTATGGGCTGCAATAGCCCATGGCAAGAATTTTCCTCTCCCGCTATTTGGTTGTCCTTTTCTTTGGAAAACAGTTAGCTAGGGTATTTTGCCAACTCACAAGAAGTCTAATACTGAGAATATTGTTCATAAACCCTTATACTTCATTATGTGGAACTAAATCTTGAGGATGCATCCGTACAATCAAGGAAGAAGTCTGCCATGCAATAAAGACAGTTATAAACTGGACATAACTAAGTATAGAAAACTCTAATTTATTCCAACAACCACTTTGATTATCTACAGAACTCCCAAGGGTAAATTCTGAATTCACCTTTCATAATTGATTTGAAATATTCTAATAAAAGCTGCAAGGGAAGCACTTTTCCTCTCCTCCCGAAATTGTTTACACATTAAATGTTGAAAGTCACCTCAGGCAAACCAGGTGAATTGAAGCTGATTCCCCTACCACTCTTGGCAGAGAACCGCAATTTCTGTGGCAAGGGTCCTTCAGAGACCCAGCCCTTCATCCGGAGCCTTTGGGATTGGACATACCCAGCCCTGGTTTAATTCCAGATGATTTATAGAACAGGTTTTAGGTTTTGCTACTCTAACAGTTTCTTTCCACCGTGAAGATATTTAAAGTAAAACCAAACAAACCCACCAAGATAGTGTATCCTACTGGGAGGATATTAAATCTAATCAAGGGTCAATCTTCAGTTTATTGGATGACCTGAAGATGCCCCCAGCTCGGAGCCCCTGAAGAGCTCATGGCTTTCCCTGGGGCCGCTCTG